GTAAAAGGGACTAAGAGTATATTGTGATGAGCCCTGAGAAATGTATACAATTGTTGAATCACCATATTGTACACCTGAAACTAATATAACTCTGCATGTTAAGTATTTTAGAATTAACATTTTTTAAAAAGAAGCCTGGCTAACAAGCAAGTATGAAAACGGCTCAGCACGAAATGGAGGGGGCTAGAGTTTTTGGAGCCAACTGACTTCACGTCTCCTACTTGGCCATTTAGTAGCTGAGTGACTTGGCACTTAAGCAATCTGAGCTTCAGGTTCTTTATCTGTAAAATGAGGATAAGCCTATTTCACAGAGTCATTATAAAAATTAGTTAATGGGTATGAAAAGATCTGGTGGGGCACCTGGGTAGCTCAGTAGGTTTAGCATCCAGCTTGAGGTCAGGTCATGATCTCACGGTTTGTGAGTTCGAGCCCCACATCGGGCTCTCTGCTGTCAGCAAAGAGCCTGCTTTGGATCCTGTCTCTCTCCCTCTCTCTCTCTCTCTCTGCCCCCACCCTGCTCACTCTCTTTCTCTCAAAAATAAAAATAAAATATTAAAAAATAAAAGGTCTTATAAGGAAGAAGCGAGGCTGACTAAACTCACCTTCATTATTTAGAGCTGTTTTGCATTTAAGAAAAATAAGTTTGAAAAAAGCATAGAGTTCAAAATTAAGTATTAGCATCCTTTCCTTTTCCCCTTCATTAATCATTAGGGAGAAGACACCACCATCTCCAAAAAGCCTTATCAAATTAGAACTAAGGCAGTCACAGAAGTGCTTGACATGCCTTTAGATGGCTTGAACCTTTGGAAAACGTGCTTCATTTGTCAAGATGCTCCAATTCTCAAACAGGCAACGAAAATACCCACCAGAAATGAGCGGGTTTACTCAAACATCAAGACAGTAGACTTGCAGTCACATCAGAGGCCTCTGGCTTTTCATATACTGGCTGTATGGTCCTAGGCAAGTGACTTCACCTCCCTCAGCTTGCTTCCTCATATAAAGAGGGGATGGGAAATCTCGAAGTAGAATTGAAGAGCATGAAGGTAAACAGCCTTCTCAGGGCTTTGGTGGCGAGAATGGTGCTGGAAGTCGACTTCAGCTCAGGTCAATGACATTCACTGTCCGCTGAGTTCGAGCCCCTCAAGCTTCAGTTGATGGCGAGAGCTTGGAGCCTTGTTTCCGATTCTGTGGTTCCCTCTCTCTGCCCTCCCCCCGCTCATGTTTGCCCTTTCTGTCCCAAAAATAAATAAACGTTGAAAAAAAAAAAAATTTAAAAAAAAAAAAATAAAAATAAAAAAATAAAGGAAATGTACTTTTATGTATCATATACAATAGGGGCTCGATGAGTAGTATCATCTTTCTCTCTCCGGAAATATTTTAGGCAATCATCAACACGGATCCCCGAGGACTTTTTAAAAGATAGTATCACTTTTTCTTTATTCAACGATCTATTGATCAAGCCAAATATGTGATCGGACTCGTTACTCTATTAGAGAACAGTAATGAACAGTGCCAATGCGTCCTTGTTCAGAAGAGTCGGCAATTAGACCAAAGATAGTGACCTATTGGCATGGAGATTCACTTGTCCTGCCTCCCCGGAGCTGGTCTGGTCTGCACCCTTGTTTCATTTTTTTTAAATGGAAATAGTGGGGCTGCTCTGGGTGGTCTAGTCAGTTTATCCCACTCCCCCTGCCTCCAGGGCATGACCACGGAGTTCTCGGACCTGCCATGCATGTAATTTTGAGGTTGACAGCTCAGAGGCCTGGAGCCTGCTCAGATTCTGTGTTCCCTCCTCCTATCCTCCCTGCCTCTCATGCCTGTCTCTCTCTGTCTCAGAAATAAATAAACGTTAAAAAAAAAATTAAAAAAAATAAATAAATGGAAATAGTCCACAATGTTCAGATTTCTGGTTCCTCTTAAAGATCAAAATACTTGACAACACGGTGGTCCCAATTCTGACTAGATAGCAATTGGATGGAGCTAAGCGTCTCCTGGTAACTTTAAACCAGACCTATTGTTCTATCCAGATGGAGAGGTCAGCCACCAAACCCTATAATCTCTAACCAATGCTACTTCCGTTGCCGTTTATCATTGCAGTTGCTCTTGTTTTTCTCATGATAAGGAAGTAGATCTCCACGCTCGTGTCTCTGTCAAAAGCTGGAAAATTGGGATGCCTGGCTGGCTCAGTCGGTAGAACATGCGACTCTCTATCTCCCATCCTAAGCCTGAGCCCTAGGTTGCCTGTAGCGATTACTCAAAATAAATATATATATATTTTAAAGCAGGAACATTAAGGGTGACGTGAGAGCATGTTTCAAGGGAAAAAAACCATTGGTGCTCAGTGGGAATGAGGACAGTTTCTACGTACATGAAAATGATACAACTTAGAAACCACTGCAAAACCATGGTAATGTGTTTGACTGGGAAAGATGTATGATCCTCAATTCAATGAACTAAAAAATAAATACAATTTTAACAGGGTTTGGTTTTGAATGGAAGGCACTGTCGCGTTATTCTTACACCGGCTGCTTACTGCCCTTTCGTTACCTGACAAGCCCGAACTGAGGCCCGAGGTCTAGTCATGCCCATTTCTATGTCGCCAGCGTTAGGGCTGTACTGGCAAAGAAGTCTGCGTTCAACAATTCTAGGCGACAAACATCCTCAATGCGATTACAAAATTGGGAGGGGTAAAAAGATTAAAGATGGACATCAGGTCCCGTAGAATCGAAAAAAGATACCCGCTTCGTTCCGCAAAAGGGAATTGGGAAAGTCTGGCCTCGGAAGGCCGCGCTACCAAAAGCCACGCCAAACTGCCGGGACGCCGTAGCGCACTCCGAAAACCGGTCCCCTCCAGAGACCGGGTGGAAGAGGCGAGGCCCCGCCCTCCAGGCCCCGCCTTCCGTTGGAAGAGGAGCCCCGCCCCGTCCGCTCGGTCCTAGCCTCGGTCTCCTACTCTAGCCTCCAGGCAGCGCCGTTGCCAGGCAGCGGCACAGAACACTGTGGGAAAGGGACGGAAGCCCCAGTGAGCCATACTTGATCCGATGAGAAGGCTCCAGACGTGGTGGCGGTGTGAAGCAGAGAAACGAGCATGGGAAGGGACCCTGAGTCCCCGTGGGGTCGGACGGAAGCCCGGGCGGGCCAAAACCGTAGCGGCGTGGAAAGTTCAGATCCTTGGACGACTCGAGGCGGAGGCGGAGGCGGGGCTGGGTGAGGAGGGAAGCTATGGGGCGCGGGGCACTGTGGGACACCGTGTGGGCAACGTGGGGCGGGACGGAAGCCTCTTTGGGTCAGACTGCGGGGACGCGGGAAGTCTGGACGCCGTAGCGGCCTGAAGAAGACGCTTGAGACCGAGGTGCGGGCGCCGGTGGCGGCAATGGCGGAGAGGCCCGAGGACCTAAACCTGCCAAATGCCGTCATCACCAGGATCATCAAGGAGGCGGTGAGCAGCTTCGGCGGGCGGATGGGCCAGGGCCGGACGAGCGGGCAGCAGAGGAAGCAGGTCCTGGGCCGGCCGGCAGCTTTATTTACCCACATTCTTTTTCCAGCTCCCGGACGGTGTCAACATCTCTAAGGAGGCCCGCAGCGCCATCTCCCGCGCCGCCAGCGTCTTCGTGCTGTACGCCACTTCCTGGTGAGGCAAGCTGAGCTAGCCAGAACCTAGCTGGGCTGAGGCGTAAGGGGGTCTTAGAGAGACCTGCCCCGGAGTCCGCGGCCTGGGGCCCAGACCCCAGTAATCGTGTCCTACCCCCGTGCGGGGAAGTTCAGCCCTCATCCAGTTGTTGCAAGGTCTGAAGCAAACTAAAGCAACAAAATTGCTTTGCTTTAACCCTTTTGTACGGGGAAGGGAGGGACTTAACCACGTCACAAAAAAATCCCTGCATCTGAGATCTAGGCTTTTCCGTACCACCT